AGACTCCATTGCAGACTTTAAGGTCATGGATTTTGTCTTCAGAGGCAGACAGCCTGTATTTGTTTTGCTTTTTGTAGGCAAGAGGTTAGTTTAACTGAGGTTTAATTTATGTACAATATAGAGATTATCATACCAAGTGAAGGAAGCCAGACAGAAGAAAGACAAATATCATATGATATCGCTTATATGTGGAATCTAAAAAAAAAAAAAAAAAAAAGGATACAAAGGAATTTATATACAAAACAGAAATAGACCCATAGACGTAGAAAACAAACTTATGGTTACCAAAGGGGAACAGGGGATAAATTAGGAGTTTGGGATTAACATATACATACTACTATATATAAAATAGTTAACCAACAAAGACCTACTGTATAGCACAGGAAACTATACTCAATATTTTGTAATAACCTATAAGGGAAAATAACCCGTAAGCTATATGAATAACTGAATCACTTTGCTGTACACCTGAAATGTACACAACATTGTGAATCAACTACACTTTAATTTAAAAACTTTACATACAGTACATACATTCACCAGTTCTTCAGGTATAATTTGATGAGTTTCACAAAGGTATACCATTCTTTAACCATCACTCGAATCAATGTATAGAACTTTCCCATCAACCCCAAAAGTCCCCTTGCGCCTCTTTTCATTGAGACCATACCCCCATCCCCTGTTCCCTCACAATCACATGCTTTCCGTAGTTATATATGTTCTAATACTACATACAAATTGAATGATACAGTAAGAGGTCATTGATCTCTGACTTCTTTCACTTAAAATAATGCTTTTGAGAGTCATCCATGATGTTGCATGTATCATTAGTTCATTCCTTTCTGTCACTGAGTAATATTCAGTGGTACAAATAAGCCACAGTATTATCTGTTCCCCAGTTGATGGATGTTTTGGATTTGGGGGAGTAGGTTTTGGATATTTTGAATGAAACTGTAATGTACATTGATGTACAAGTCAAAGTGGTTGTGCCATTTTGTCATTTTATATTTTTACCAGCAATGCATGACAGGTTTTTCTTTTTTCTTTACATCCTTGTCAGTACTTGGTATATTCAGTCTTTTAACTTATAGCAATTCTAGCAGGTTTATAGGAATATTTTATCTAGGTTTTAATTTGCTTTTATTGTGCAATTTAAAGCAAATTTTTTTTTTTTTGCGGTATGTGGGCCTGTCACTGTCGTGGCCTCTCCCGTTGCGGAGCACAGGCTCCGGACGCGCAGGCTCAGCGGCCATGGCTCACGGGCCCAGCCGCTCCGCGGCACGTGGGATCTTCCCGGACCGGAGTACGAACCCGTGTCCCCTGCATCGCCAGGCAGACTCTCAACCACTGCGCCACCAGGGAAGCCCAAAGCAACCTTTCATATGCTTATTTGCCATCTCTTTTTTTTTTTTTGATGAAGTGTCTGTTTGAAACTTACGTTCCTTTTTATTGGATTGTCTCTTCTTTTATTAAGTTGGAAAAGTTCTTCATATTTTTTAAATAGAAGTCTTTTTGTCAGGTACATGCTCTGTTAATATTTTCCTCTAGCCTGTGGCTTGATCCTTCTTCATTTTGTAGCAGTGTCTTTTGAATATCACGAATTTTTAGTATTGTAGAAGTCCAATTTATCAACTTTTTCTTTTATCATGCATTTTGTGCCCTGGTTAAGAAATCTTTGGGGCTTCCCTGGTGGCGCAGTGGTGGAGAGTCCGCCTGCCGATGCAGGGGACACGGGTTCGAGGCCCGGTCCGGGAAGATCCCACGTGCCGCGGAGCGGCTGGGCCCGTGAGCCATGGCTGCTGAGCCTGCGCGTCCGGAGCCTGTGCTCCGCAACGGGAGAGGCCACGACAGTGAGAGGCCCGTGTACCGCAAAAAAAAAAAAAAAAAATCTTTGCCTCACTTTAAATTTTTCTATGCTTTCTTCCAGAAGTTTTATAGTTTTAACCCTTACATTTATAATCCATTTTGAGTTAATTTTGGTTTGAGGCAAACATGAATATCCTATTTGTTTCAACGGCACTTGTTAAATAATTTATTATTATTTTTCTCATCATGCTCATGCTTTTCTCTTGTGGAATATGTGGAGTATATACATATTCCATATTATATATGTGTGTGTGTGTGTGTGTGTGTGTATAATTTTAAAGAAATGTACTAGTCTGCCCATTCTATCCCTTTTGTCATTTTGGTATGTCTCTCTAGCTTGAATTTTCCCTTGGCCTTGGGTCATATTTTTTTGCTTCTTTGCATGTCTGGTAATTTTCGATTGGATTTCAGATATTGTCAGTTTGATATTGTTGTTTACAGGATTTTCTTTTATTCCTTTAACTACTTTTGAGGTTTGCTCTGACATGTAGTCAAGTTACTTTGAAAAGGTTTGATTCTTTGGAGGCTTTCTTTTCAACTTTCTTAGGTGGGGCTGAAACAGTCTTTTGTCTGTGATTACTCTGTACCTATTACTGAGGCAGTACTCTTCTGAGGCCTCTGTTTGAAGTCCTGGTGGAAGGTCTTTCTACCCTGGCTAGTGGGAATGCTAAGTATTCCTGATCTTGCGTGAGCTCCAGGAATTGTTCCACCTCCTCCTTTCCAGGGGCCTTGGTAATTTCTTCAGTTCACCAATCCTTAGCCAGAGACTCAGAGGAACCCTCTGCATATCTACAGAGTGACTTTTCTCTTTTTTTTCTGAGGTACTGCCTGGCAAACTCTAGCCGCCTTTGCTTCTCAGACTTGAGGTTCTGTATTATTAACTCAGCAAGACTGCTGGATGGTTTTGGGGTTCCTTCTCCCTATGCTCTGGACTGGAAAGTCCAGGCAGTGAGCTGCAGCACAGAGTTCTCACCTTGTTTCTTTTCCTTTTTCTCTGACTTCCGGGTCTTAAAATAGTTGTTCTAGATATTTTTTCTACTTTTTGTGTTGGTTGGCTAAGATGAAAGGATAATTCTGGTAGTTCTCCTTAGACTCAGGGGATTTATTGATTCTGGGGGTTTGTGTTTTAGTTCTTTCTCCGCCAGTTACTAGCTGTTGGGTTTTAGCTAGGTGCTTAACCTTTCCTCTGTTAGTTTTCTCTAAAATGGAATAATTATCATCTGTACATTATAGGGTTGTTGTGAGGGTTAAGTGAGAAAAGAACATACTTGAAACAGTTCCTTGAACATATTGGAACTTGCTTTTATCATTATTTCCATACTAAACAAATCTTTTCTTGAATCCATAGATGCCGGCTTCCTAGAATAAGGCCATTCCTATAAAGGAAAAAAGAAGGTCTCAAGCCCAGAAATTCATCCTTGCTAAGGATACCCTTGACGAGACACCATTACCAGGATATCAGGACAGATCCTAAATGTGGTGGCCACTTCCTAAAAGCTGTTAAAAATGACCAAGTCCCAGGTGAGCTGTTTGGGTTTTTTCCCAGTTTGTTTTGCATTTTTGATTTTTGGTGTTTTATTAAAATGTATCCAATCAAAGAGAACAATATATATAGATACATTGTGGCTAGGAGGGACGTGCTTAGATTGGGAGATAGAATAAATGATCCAGAATAGCCAGTCAGGAAGGGAAACTCATCTGCGTGTCATAGGGTCCTGCAAGGTGCTGATAATTAGAACATTGCCACATAAGCAGCAGGATCCAGAAGTGGGTTGCCTACATTTCTCTGTTAATACTGGAAACCATCACAAAAGATAAAAATGTGTTGCAAGATTTACTTTGTATTTAAGAAGGAAGCACATTAATTCAGTAAAGGTTTCCTGGACATTTAAGTGTGAAGATGGGTCTTCCTGTTACTTTTTTTTCTCATCCAGACAGTGGACCCAGTGAAAAGTCATCTTCCTAAGGAAACGTGGGAGGTATGACAGGCACAGATAGAAAACTTTAAAAATCCCTTACCTATTAAAAAAAGATAATAGTAGGGCTTACATAAAGGTTACTGTGCAGATCATTGTGTTACTGTGTGTAAGATGCTTAGAACGATACATAGCACGCAGTGAAAGCTTTGTGTTTGCTTTTATTTTGAGTATTGTGATTTAATAGGTAGTCCAATTTCTAATAGGCAGTTCTGAGCGTAGCATACTTTTGTATATGAAAAACACTGCAGTGGCTACCAAGTGTCTGCAGGACATGTGCATTCTTGCTCCAAGACGTGTTCCTGACTGTCACCTGGGCATCTGTCCCTTTCAGCCTCTTCTCCTGTCCCTTTGAACTATATGCAGTTCTTTGAACTCAAATAGATCAGAAGGCATTTGATGGCAGGACCATGCTCTATTTCCTTTTTTTTTTTTTTTTTTTTTCCGGTACGCGGGCCTCTCACTGTTGTGGCCTCTCCCGCTGTGGAGCACAGGCTCTGGACGCGCAGGCCCAGTGGCCATGGCTCACGGGCCCAGCCGCTCCGCGGCATGTGGGATCCTCCTGGACCGGGGCACGAACCCGTGTCCCCTGCATCTGTAGGCGGACTCACAACCACTGCGCCACCAGGGAAGCCCTCTATTTCCTTTTTTAATGCAAAATGTATATATAGTAAGTAACATTAAATGCTTGTAAGGTGGGTTGCAGATTGTCTTTAGGGAGTTTAAAGTTTCAGTGACATTTTACATTGGGTAAGTGAATGAGTGAAGAAGTGAATGAAGAATGCACAAAGAAAGGAGAGCTTTAATGAATTTAGCCCACAGAATGTCAATCAAAACTAGGTACAGGGCTTCCCTGGTGGCGCAGTGGTTGAGAGTCCACCTGCCGATGCAGGGGACACGGGTTCGTGCCCCGGTCCGGGAAGATCCCACATGCCGCGGAGTGGCTGGGCCCGTGAGCCATGGCCGCTGAGCCTGTGCGTCCGGAACCTGTGCTCCACAACAGGAGAGGCTACAACAGTGAGAGGCCTGCGTACCACAAAAAAAAAACCTAGGTACAGAATGATATATGTTTATAAATTTTCATAGTAAAAATAGAATAATATCCTGTAGATCATTACTATTTTATTCCATTATATTAATTCCAGATTAAAAAGGATTATGTTACAACAGGGCTTATTGTCATTCAATGATGTGGCTGTGGATTTCACCTGGGAAGAGTGGCAGCTGCTAGACATTGTTCAGAAGAACCTCTACCGGGATGTGATGTTGGAAAATTATAGCAACCTAATGTCATTGGGTAAAGACAACTTTCCTAAATATCTCAGCGTAAGCCCATTTATTGCCTGTCTTTTTTCCATTGCTACAATTTATGTGTACTCTGATATCGTCAGTGATTTTGGACTTGGACTAGTATAGGTAGATAACAGAGCTTATTTTATTTAATATCATACAGTGACTGTACTTAATTTCATTTTCCAAGTAAAAAGTTTCAATTTTGCTGAGATTTAATCTATACATTCCCTGAAACAGAACTTTTCCTCACAGGACCCAATACTGCTCAGATTCTCTGTGATTACCCCCCTTGTCAGGTTATCAAGTTACGAAGCCAGAACCAGTGATGCACTTGGAGAAAGGAAAAGAAAAAGAAAAAGAAGTAGTAGAGAGGGAATTCCCAATTCAGTGTGGTCCAGGTGAGTGAAACCAATGCAGTGGGAGTTCGTGGAAGCAAAGTAACAGTTGGTCATTGTTGGCTTGGGAACTTTGTTATTTTAATATTTTTTTTAATTGAAGTATATTTAATTTACAATGTTATGTTAGTTTCAGATGTACAGCAGAGTGATTCAGTTATGTGTATATATATACTTTTTCAGATTCTTTTCCATTATAGGTTATTATAAGATATTGAATATAGATCCCTGTGCTATACAGTAGGTCCTTGTTGTTTGTGTATTTTATATATAGTAGTATGTATCTGTTAATCCCAAACTCCTAATTTATCCCTCCCCCCATTTTAATATTTTTTTCTCATAGTCTCTGAACCTTTAGAAGTGACTCTGAATGAAAAGAAGTCTTCAGTATGAATGTTGCCTGCTTCTCTTACTACCCTTCCATATATGGCTCTCTTTTGCTAGCCACCTAGGAGGAGACTAACCTCCTTGTATCTACCCTGGGTCAGATCTTTGCCTAGTTCATTTGGTCTCTCCTTTTTTGCTTAGTTGTTCTTTTACCGTAGCTCATTAGACACAACCAACCTCTTTTACCGTTTATCCATATTCATATACCTCTTCTATTTTGCTTTCAAATATTCATAGATTTGTTCCAATGTTTGATGACACCCATGTCCTTCAGTTCATTACTTATTACTGTTTCTTTTATTGGGTGCCTCAGACTTACATTGTGCACCTGCTGTATCACTTTCTCCATCTCTTTGGATATTGACTTGAGATTTCATCCCTCTCCATTTCATGATAATGGTAGTATTCATTGATTTTTTTTTTCTAGAAGTAATGTGTCAAGTTTATGATTGGCATTGGGAAGATAACGGGAAGGGTGGACCTGTGGAGAGAGATCATGAAAACAATGCATTGGGAAAAATATTTCCTTTGAGCAAAAACTTTGTTTCATTTACAGAAAGACCCCATAAATGTGTCTCAAGAGGAATAAGTTTGAAACAAAATTCAGACCCAAGTTTTCAGAGTAAAAGCTATGCAGAAATGAACTCTGATGAGTTAAATGGTTATGGGAAGTCATTTTTCCATACTCGACATGAAACCTCCCACCCTCGAGCCCAGTACTATGAACATAATTTATGTGTGAGGTCTTTCAGCACAGTAACAAATCTTAAAAGACATCACAGAATTCACACAGAAGGGAAACCTTATGAGTGCAGTGACTGTCCCAGATCCTTCAGGTATAAGTCAAAGCTCATAATACACCACAGAACCCATACAGGAGAGAAGCCATACAGATGCAGTGAATGTCAGAAAGGTTTCAGTACAAAATGTCATCTCACTCTGCACCAGAGAACTCATACAGGAGAGAAACCGTATGAATGTATCGAGTGTCAGAAATCCTTTAGAACAAAATATCATCTCATTCTACACCATAGGACTCATACAGGAGAGAAACCCTATGAATGCAAAGAATGTGGAAAAGCTTACAGGGAAAAGACGAAGCTCAGATTACATTACAGAACACATACAGGAGAGAAACCTTTTGAGTGTAGTGATTGTGGGAAAGGTTTTATGCAAGAGTCAAACCTGATTATCCATCAAATAATCCATACAGGAGAGAAACCCTATGGATGTAAAGAATGTGGAAAGGCCTTCTGTAGTAAGTCTCAGCTTGTTGTTCACCAGCGAAATCATATGGGAGAAAAATCCTATGAATGCAGGGAATGTGGAAAAGCCTTCAATAAAAACTTGCACCTCATAACACATCAGAAAATTCATATCAGAGAGAAACCTTATGAATGCAGTGAATGTGGAAAAGCTTTTGTACACACATCACAGCTCATTCTACATCAGAGAAATCATACAGCAAGAACACCCTATGAATGTGAGGGATGCGGGAAAGCTTTTAATAAAAAGTCACACTTCATAACCCATCAGAGAATTCATACGGGAGAGAAACCTTATGAATGCAGTGAATGTGGGAAGGCTTTTATAGACAAATCACAGCTTATTGTTCATAGAAGAACTCATACGGGAGAGAAACCTTATGAATGCAAGGAATGTGGGAAAGCCTTTAATAAAAAGTCATCCCTCATAACACATCAGAGAATTCATACGGGAGAGAAACCTTATGAATGCAGTGAATGTGGAAAAGCTTTTATAGACAAGTCCCATCTCATTGTCCATCAGAGAACTCATACAGGAGAGAGACCCTATGAATGCAGTGAATGTGGAAAAGCTTTCGTACGAAAGGCAATGCTCATTGTCCATCAGAGGACACATACAGGAGAGAAACCCTTTGTATGCCTTGAATGCCAGAAAGCCTTTAGCAGTATGGCAATGCTCAGTAGACATCAGTTGATTCATACAGGAGAGAAACCCCATGGATGCAGTGAATGTGGGAAGGCTTTCCGCCAAAAAAGCCATCTTATTATCCATCAACGATGCCATACTGGAGAGAAACCCTATGGATGCATTCCATGCGGTCAAATCTTCAACCAGAAGTCACAGCTCATTAGACATCAGAGACATCACACAGGAGAGAAACCATATCAGTGCACTCAATGTGGGAAAGACTTTTTTGAGAAATCATACCTCAGTGTCCATCAGAGAAGTCATGCCGGGCAGAAACCTTATCAACGTGGGGAGTGTGGGAAAACTTACTCTGTCAAGTTCTTTCTCCCTTCACGTGAGGAAATTCATACATGAAAACAATCCCAGGAGCACAGCACTGGGAAGACTTTAGTGATGCCAGATCTCCCTGAATACAAGAAAATTCACACGAGAGTCACCCTATGAATGCAGGGAAAGTTAGGGTACTTTTCCATTAATTTTGACCTTTGTAAGTTTCAAAACTTACCCAGAAGAGAAAACTTTTAAATGCAGTGAATATAGGAAAATTATCTACTACCAATGTAGGCTCATATTTCATGAGAAAAAAGGCAGTATGAATGAAAAGTTGAAATCTCTTCTTGAGAAGAGATCCCATTATACATTGCACAAAATGAAACCTTTGGGTACAACAAATGTTTTTGATAGGCTATCATAAAGTAGTTAGTTTTCACTGTGGAAAAAAACTCACAAATATTGTGAATTCTTGAGTAGCTTCCAAACAAATGAGTTTTCATACCAAGGAATACAGATGGCTGAAGACTTGTGATAAGGGATGCCTCTGGCATGAAGTCCAAACTTATCATGCATCAGATAATATTTTTTTAAGGAGAATTAGTAGAGTGTAATGGTGGGAAAGTTTATTTACATATAAACAACTTTATAATAAAAATTTTGATCCCATTACCATGTATTTATAGAAAATGTAACACAAAGTAGTCAGTTAGGAAGAGCAGATAACTTTAGCATGCCAAAGGACACTTTGTTTCATGTTATAATATATTGTATAGTCAAAGAAGTAAATTAAGAAAGGTCCCAGATGTATGTATTTGTTTTGTGTCTGAGTATTTTTGTAGAACATGTATATGATGATTTTCAGGTTTCACAAGGTAATGAAAGTTGTGTACCACGAAATTCTTGTTCCAGTTTGTATGTCTAATATCTACCAAAAATGCCAACATAGTGAAATATATAAATCACAAGGGAAATAATTCAGCTTAACATTAAACAATACTATAACACCATTTACACCTTTTTGGTTTTTGCTTTACTGTTACTGGTATTGTAAATGAATCCGGTACTTTTCAGCCCTTAGGAATGATACATTTTTTTAAAACAAATTATCTTCTGGTTGTCACTCAGAAAACAAAAAACAAACAAACAAAAAAAACCCCAAAAAAGCCCCATTACAAATATTGAGGTTTAAGAGTGATAAGTAATCACAACTCTTCTGTCCCCAAATGAGTTCTGAAAAACTGGAAGCAGCTGCTATTTTCAAAGAAATGAAGATTAAAATGTCACTTGTCGGGACTTCCTTGGTGACGCAGTGGTTGAGAGTCCGCCTGCCAATGCAGGGGACACGGGTTCGGGCCCTGGTCCAGGAAGATGCCACATGCCACGGAGCAACTGAGCCCGTGCACCACAACTACTGAGCCTGTGCTCTAGAGCCCGCGAGCCACAACTACTGAAGCCCGCGCGCATAGAGCCCGTGCTCTGCAACAAGAGAGGCCACCGCAGTGAGAAGCCCGCGCACCACAACAAAGAGTAGCCCCCGCTCACCGCAACTATAGAAAGCCCGCGTGCAGCAACGAAGACCCAATGCAGCCAAAAATAAATAAATTTTTTAAAAATGTCACTTGTCTTGGTGGTTGTGCTGAAATGGGGAATGAATATGGCTTAGATTTATAGCCAGACTTGCTTGCCACGGCTTTCCTCCATGAAAACCTAGTTTATTTGTTTCCTAGAGCTGCTGTAACAAAGTATACTATTAACTGAACGGGTTAAAACAGCAGAAATTTACTACTGTCTCAGTTCTGGAGGCCAGAAGTCCAAAGTCAGGGTGTCATCAGGGCCATGCTCCCTCTGAAAACTGTTGAAGATTCCTTCCTTACCTCTTCCTAGCTCCTGGTGATTTATGGGCAACTATTGGCTTTCCTTAGTCTGCAGCTGTATAACTGCAACCTCTGTCTTTGTCATCACATGGCATGCTCCCTGTGTGCCTCTGTGTCTCCACATGGCCAACTTCTAAGAACACCAGTTATTGGATTTGGAGCCCACCCTACTCCAGGAGGAGCTCATCTTAACTAAACTCCATCTATAACAACTCAATTTTCTGAGGTACTGGAGGTTAGGACTTCAACATACATCTTTTCGGTTGGGGGGAGTGGATACACGATTCATCCAAAACTAGTACAATTGACCCTTGAACATTGCAGGGGTTAGGGGCGCTGTCCCCCTATGCAGCTGGGAATCATTATATAACTTTTGACTCCCCCCAAACTTAACTACTAATAGCTTTCTATTGATTGGAAGCCTTACCAATAACAAACAGTCGATTAACACATATTTTATATATGTATTATATACTGTATTCTTACAATGAAGCTAGAGAAAAGAAAATGTTATTAAGAAAGTCATATAAGGGGGAGTTCCCTGGCGGTCCAGTGGTTAGGACTCGGAGCTTTCATTGCCTTTGGCCCAGGTTCAGTCCCTGGTCAGGGAACTAAGATCCTGCAAGCCACACAGAGCGGCCAAAAAGAAAAGTCATAGGGAAGAGAACATACGTTTAAAGTACTGCCCTGTATTTATCAATACCATAAGTTTACATCATCTGTTTACAAGCTGAATCATCTGTCAGTATCTACATCAGTATTATATGATACAAAACACTGTAGATATTATATGTATTACTAACACTAAGCATCAAAAATGAAAAAGTAATGTGAAAAAATTCATTTATTTACAGGTATAACAACTCATACATTGATAATGAAGAAGCAGCAGTAAGATTTTATCGTCTTGGGCACACTCTGTTGTTCAACTGTGTTTTCCCCTCACCTGTTATTTATCCTAGTGTTCATAGGCACACTTTTTTTTTTTTTTTTTTTTTTTTTTGGTGGGGCATATATCTAGGAGTGGATTTGTTGGGCCATAGAGTGATTTTCAAGACTTTAAAGTGGAAAATAAAAATATGCAAGAGTAGAAAGCTTCAAAAATTTTAAACATTTTGTTGATTTCACTGATTGCCTTTCCTCCCCACCCCCCCAGGAATATTTTTAATCAAATGTCATATAGTATAATTTCCTCCTTAAATACTTTAATATGTGTCTGTAACAGATAAGGATTTTTAAAAGACTATAGTCACAATTATACTCAACAAAATAGACAGTATTTCTTGAATATATTCGGGTTCTCCAGTAGTGTGTGTGTGTGTGATTTATTATAAGGTATTGGCTCACGTGATTATGGAAGCTGAGAATTTGGAGGTGGAAAGGGTGGGGAAGACTTCTTCCTGAGAGATTAGTACTTCTGTTAACTGTTCCTGAGAAACTCACCTCATCTAAAGAACAAAATATTGACAGCTTAACTTGCCCACATCTGCCAATTCAAGACCAGAGTAGCCCCAGAGGACCTTGAACAAGATATTGGGGACAACAGCCTTTCTGTAAGTTTATTTTGCTTGAAGAAGACCATTTGTTCTTGGATGTGGGCTATAAAGATGTTTCCGTGTTTGCGAGATCTACCATTAATTCTTATTCTATTGTAAAGAGAACATTTATTCAACTGCTAATAATCGGAGGAATCTTGTTGCATATTACAATTATCGGGGAGTTTTGTGAATACATACAGGCTCCTGGGACTTCCTTGGTAGCGCAGTGGTTAAGAATCCGCCTGCCAGGGCTTCCCTGGTGGCGCAGTGGTTGAGAGTCCGCCTGCCGATGCAGGCGACACGGGTTCGTGCCCTGGTCCGGGAAGATCCCACATGCCGCGGAGCGGCTGGGCCTGTGAGCCATGGCCGCTGAGCCTGCGCGTCCGGAGCCTGTGCTCCGCAATGCAGGGGACACGGCTTCGAGCCCTGGTCTGGGAAGATCCCACATGCCACGGAGCAACTAAACCCGTGAGCCACAACTACTGAGCCTGTGCTCTAGAGCCCGTGAGCCACAACTACTGAGCCCGTGTGCCACAACTACTGAAGCCTGCGCCCCAAGACCTCGTGCTCCGCAAGAGAAGTCACCGCAATGAGAAGCCCGTGCACCACAACGAAGAGTAGCCCCCGCTCGCCACAACTACAGAAAGCCCTCCTATAGCAATGGAGATCCAACACAGCCAAAAATAAAATAAATTTAAAAGAAAAATACAGGGCTTCCCTGGTGGCGCAGTGGTTGAGAGTCCGCCTGCCGATGCAGGGGACGCGGGTTCGTGCCCCGGTCCGGGAAGATCCCACATGCCGCGGAGCGGCTGGGCCCGTGAGCCATGGCCGCTGAGCCTGCGTGTCCGGAGCCTGTGCTCCGCAACGGGAGAGGCCACGACAGTGAGAGGCCCGCGTACCGCAAAAAAAAAAAAAAAAAATTGGCGCAGTGGTTAAAAATCCTCCTGCCAATGCAGGGGACACAGGTTCAAGACCTGGTCTGGGAGGATCCCACATGCCGCGGAGCAACTAAGCCTGTGTGCCACAACTACTGGGCCTGCACTCTAAAGCCCGCGAGCCACAACTGTTGAAGCCTGTGCACCTAGAGCCCGTGCTCCGCAACAAGAGAAGCCACCGCAATAAGCCTGCTCACCGCAGCGAAGAGTAGCCCCCGCTCGCCTCAACTAGAGAAAAAGCCCTCGCGCAGCAACGAAGACCCAATGTAGCCAAAAATAAATACATTTATTTAAAAAAAAACACAACAGGTTCCTGCATTAAGCATCAGACTTTATTAATCAGATGCCTTGATGCTGCAGTGACCTAACCCATATTTTATTTTTAATTGTTTAAGTTTTTTTATTGGAGGATAGTTAATTTACAATATTGTGGTCTAACCCAGATTTTAAAAAAAATACCTCCCCAAGCGATTCTGTTGGAACAGTATCAGTTGTAGATCCAACATTTGG